CTGCAACTAAAACTATACTAGTTATTAATTCTGCAACATAATAATCTTAACTTCTATATTTATATTAATCCATATATTGTTCACTACTGTTACTAGTAAATAGTCTTTATTGTTATTCACCCTTTTCTAACTATGCTACATTCAAATTCTATAAGAAAATATTAAAGTAACAGACACACAGTAAAACAATTAAAGAATTAATGGTTAAGGGTCATGCCCCTTGGCATGCAGAGCCATGCCCCTCGACATGTGCAATCGTTCCCCTCGGCACATAACATGGTGTCGGTCGGCACCCTTCACCAATACGCATGTGTCTCCCGGCACACCATCCCTTCTTCCTCCGTTCTGTAATTTCGTCCACATTCTCCCTGCGACTGATAATTCCTTCCCCTACCAATGATCTCAGACAACACTACATGTATTCACAACATCATAACAACTATACCAACCATGGGTTAATTTCCAACCTTTCATTCATCGATAGAACTACTGTAACGTTATCAGAAAATTATCACATAAACCAAATAACAATTTGTTCATACGACCATCACATACAATAACAATTTTACACAATCCAATTCCTACGTAACATGCATCATATACCCAATTATAGAGTTAGAACCCCGCCCTTACCATGGATTGAATGTTGCTATACAATTTTCCGATTGAATTCCGCTTTGCCTCTTTTCTTCTTTGCTCTGCAACTTCTATGTTATATTTCTCTCTTCCAACCCTTATTCCTCTTCTTCTTAACAAAAACCTATTTTTCCTTACTGTCACATCTAATTTCTATTATTATAACCAAACTCAATAATAATAGAATCATTTCTATTGGACTTAATTCTCACACCCCCCTTAGTACTACATACCACCATATAAAATAGGCCCAACAACTTAATCTTATATTATTCCATTAACTCCAATATTATTATTATTAATCAATTAATTAATTAATAATAATACAACAACTTATACCAACAATTCTCAACATCTCACAACTTCAACAAATAATCCAAAAATAATTTAATTAAATAATTAATTAAATTAACGGGCGTTACACCTTGGCTGAAGCTTTGAAACACCTTCTTGCTTCTTGGATGTCCCTGTGGAGGGTGGCGACCAAGCCTTCAGCGGTGTATTACTTCATCTTGAGGTGTACGGTAGAGGTAATTGCGATGAGTTCGGCGGGAGTGGGTCTCCTGAAGATGCACTGGTAGAGAGACGAGCAATCTACCACCAAGAATTGGGTCTTGATGGCTCTGGCCGTTACTCCTCTCTCGAAGGTGATGATCAGCTCGGTATATCCCCAGGGTTTTATGCTGGCTCCATTGAAGCCCTGGAGATCTTATCCCATGTAAGGGGTCAAATGGCTCTCATTCAGCTGTAAAGTGGTGAACAACTGGGCATACATGATGCCCACCGAGCTGCCTTAGTTAACCAGTATGCAACGCACGTTGAAATTCGCCACGTGAGCTCTCACGAGTAGTGGGATGGTCGAATTCGGGGCTCTGCCTGGCAATTTCTCCATGTAGAAGGCGAGGGGATAAGAGCCTCCTCAGAATTTATCGAGCATGACGTCCAAATCTAAGTTGGCTTCGATAAGTTGGTCGAATCTCCTCTTTACCGACCCAACTGTGTGCCTGTTGAGTCCTCCGCTGGAGATGACCATGGCTGCGGGGAAGGATTCCCAAGGACTATGGAAGGAGAAGTACAGGGGGAGATTCTCTATGTTCGGATAATAGAAATCTTCTGGCCGTAAGATGCTCATGGCAACTGGAATAACGTCGAGGTCGGGGGACTTCTTCCCTTCCTCGACGTTTTTGGTTTCTGGTGCTTCGTCACGGGCACCCTCCTTCTTTTTATATTGCTTGAGGTGGTCGTCTCTGATCTGTATTTTGATTGCATCCTTGAGATGAATGAAATCCTCCGTGTTATGCCCGTTACTTTTATGGGACCTACAATATTTGTTCTTGTCGGTTCCCGGCTTGAATGGCGTTTGTAAGGGGAAGCGCACCCCGGCTTGCTTAAATTCAATATTGGCGCATTCAGAAAGAATATGCTCCCTTGAGGTTGTCAGAGGGGTGTAGTTGTGGAAACGACCGGTTGGCCCCTTGTAGTCTTTAGAATCGCGGAACTTTTCTTCCCGTTTCTTTTCTCCCCGACGGGATGTCGAGGGCTCGTCATTCTTCGAGGACTTGGAACTCTCTCTATGTCTTGATTCCCTGGTGATGTTGGTCGCTTCTTTCTCCTTGTACTGTATGTACGCCTGATCCTTGAGGAGGAGGGAGTCGAGTGTGGCTGGCGTCTCAATGCCTACAGCTTTGGCAATGTCACTGTGGGGACAGAGCCCGTGCTCGAGGAGATACTTCTTCATGTTATCGGTCGTTGAGACCTGGACAAATTCCTTTTTGAAGCATTCAATATACATCCACAGAGGTGATTGCTTCGAGCGAAGCCTCCAATTTCGGGTGTCGACGGGAGGTGGTGAAATGCCTCGAAAATATCCTCTTGAGTTGCTTCCATGAGGTGATGGATTTATCGGGGAGGCTCTTGTACCATGACATCGCCCCCTTCTTGAGAGTGGCTGGGAAGAGTCTACATTGGATGGCCCCTCTGACCTCTCGGTAGTCGAGGAGGGCGTCGATGTTCTCGATGTGCTCGTTAGGGTCTATTGTCCCATCATAGGTTCCCAATGGAGGTGGCTTCTCCAGGCCGACAAGAAGTGAGGCCTCTGTAATCTCCCTCGATAGCTGGCCATGGGGCTCGTCATCCTCACTATTTGCGGGTGATGCAGAAGGGGAGTGATAGTTTCTTCCCTGTCGATCGTCACGGTCTCTTCGGGGGGAGGGGCTCCTCCGTTTCTGCTTTTGTTCGGGCGAAGGAAGTCGAGCACGGTCGATTTTTCGGTTGTCTTTCCTCTTTTTGAACGAATAGGAGTCTTGATCTCTTGTAGGAGGTGTGCAGTTGCGTTTCTTGAAGAAATAAATTTCGCGCCTCTCCTTTCTTGGTGGTAGGCCATGCTTGGGTGGCGATATACTAGGGGAGTTTCGTTGTTGGGTTCTCTGAGGAGGAAATCTTGAACCCCATGGTACAGGGTTCGATTCCCACGAAAGGCAAAAACTCTACTAGTGAGGGGGGTAGAGAAGATCGTGAGGTAATAGTGTCGGGAACGCTGAAGGCTCGGGCTGTTACAGTTCGGGTCATGGTCGTGCAAACCGTATCAAAGGAAAGGTCTAGACTGGGCCCATTCAAAGCTGTCGGGCCAGTCTAGAATAATTTTTATCTTAAAAATTATTTTGTAGGCCAAGCCAAACAATTAAGAAGTTATCCAATCTCTTTTCAAAGTTTTTTTGAACTAACAAATTGATTGGGGACTTAATTCAATTGATTGGGAAATTTTTTTAGTCAGCCAATCGATTGGAACATTTATAATCGATGGAGAAGGGCAAAATATTTAATAAATGATTAAGAAGCACCATAATGAGTTACAATAACTCTTTATCTAATATTTCCAAATCGATCATGGTAATCGGTTAAAAATGACTTAGCCAATCGATATGAGCATTATGCTAATTGATTGCCTCATCAAAATTCTACCCATGGATCATTTCCTTTTATGGTTTTTCAACTCATATATAAAGGAGGCTCGCCTCCTCTTCATTTCGCCACTTTCCAAAACTTTACATTTTTTTGAAATTTCTCCCTCTACTTTTTTCTCTCTCTAGAAATATCTATTTATTGCTTAAGTCGCCTTAGTGCTTTTGAGTGAAATCTTACTTGTGAGAAAGAATTTGTAAGTGGTCGTGTTAGTCATTTAATTTTTAAGAGTATGATATTCTTAAGAGAATGAGTTTTGTTTGTGAGATAAACCAATCATAAAATCTATGTCTTGGTTTCGTCAGAAAAAACTTTGTTTGGTTTTTTGTGATAAGTTTGTAAAAATCTCAAGATCATATTGTGTCAAGGTTTATGGACACAACCTGTAAAAGCAAAAAAATTGTAGTCAAAATCTCAAGAAGATCTCTTGGAGACAAGACTAAGTCAATGTTCGGTAAAATTCGGATAACTCTCTGGTGCAATCCGTCTAACTTTTACTCTCTTTATTTTCAACTATTTAATGTTTTTATTTTCGCTGGTAATTACGTTTGTAAAACTACTAAGACAATTTCTAATTTTATTGAGACAAATACAATAGTAATCACAAATTTTAAATACCACAATCCATCATCTCTCTTGTGTTTGACGTCATTTGTCCAACAACACTCGAATATGATATGGTGAAAAAGCAACATTATTGTTGGGCTTAGGGCCACAGAATGAAATGTTTCAATAAAACATTACAAGTTACAATGGAGACATTCAATGCGCTAGTTCCTAATACTATAAGCATAAAAGCTGAGAAAACCATTTAATGTTTCAATAAAATATTACAAGTTACAATGGAGACATTCAATGTGCTAGTTTCTAATGCTATAAGCGTAAAAGCTGAGAAAACCATTTAATGTTTCAATAAAACGTTACAAGTTACAATGGAGACATTCAATGCGCTAGTTCCTAATGCTATAAGTGTAAAAGCTGAGAAAACCATTTAGTTGTCCAAGTTTCATACACGAGTGTTGTACTTTGGATTCCAACATACTAAATCAACAAGTGAGAGTGAGACTAAGAAACTATGATCATTTTTTCACATTGGATTAATGCAAGTACTTACCTAAAACCTCCAACAAGATTAAGATTTGACTTTCCTTTAAAATCTATCGCCATATTTTTCTAAAGAAACTAGTTACAGATCCTATTTAAAGATCTATATTATATTTCTTTAACTATGATGCATAATTTATCCACTAAACTATACTGTTACTCATTTCAATAATATCATTTATTTTTCTTCTTTTTTGTCAAAAGTCAAAGTCTAGATTCCATTATACATATACAAATGCTTTTTTATATATAATCCATTAATAGTCTATGTGCCCATAAATCAGTAGAAAGAAAAGAAGATGAGCGGAGGGAGAAGAAACGATGAGAGTGATGATGAAGGAGGAGGGTGGGGTTCAACGTTTTTGAAACTGGCAGGTGCGGCAGCCGTGATAGGTGGCATATACAGTGTCCTAAAACAACCCCAAGCTGAAGTCACACCATATGGAACGCGGCAACCTGATCCTCAAGTGGTGATACTCAAAGTTGACGGTTCGCTTCTGCCCAGAAAAGCTGGCTGTGGAGGATACCTGAGCAGCGCGTCACAGAAATGGATATGCGGTTTCACTCTGAAGTTGGATCCGAGTTTAAAAGTAGATGAAACTGAGAGACAAGCAATTCTGAGAGGTTTGAAATGGGTTAGAGAAAAGGGAAAGAGGAAAGTTGAGGTGAAATCAGATAATTTTGGGGTTGTGGATTTAGTGAATTCTGGAAGTAGATCTAATGATTATGTTATACGTGAAATAAGGGATCTTCTTTGTAGTTCTGATTGGGAAGCCAAATTGAGTTGGATCTCTGGTGATCAAAACAAAGTTGCTGACAGACTTGCTCATAAAGCTCATGCATTAATTTCTTTTGGTATGTGTGAGATTGTTTCTCCCCCTCAAAACTGTGTCGACCTGCTCTAGCTACTTTCAGTGTTAATTATTCTGTTGATGTTTTACTATGTGTTTGGTTAAGGTTATGGTTATGGTTAATTTCTTATGTTCAACGAAGTTTACACTAGTGTTTGTATTGTTCAAATCCTACTTTCCCTTTCAACAGGTTGAGAGCATGTAATAATCATTATGTTATGTATGTTATGTATGTTGTGTGGTTTGTTATGAAATTTAATCTTATTGTCAATGTTGTCAGAAGTGCGATCCAAATCGTGGAATCGCACAATTTTGTAATGTTAGAGTATAATTATCGGCTGATAAAGTGTCGTTGCTACACAGTTTTTAATAAATTTGTTTTTAATATTTGGATAATTGAGAAAAAGTAGCGTTCCTACATTCATGCATGTTCTCTTATTTAACCACGCTCTCTAACTGATTTTTTTTGCCAAGTGTAAAAAAATAATGGTTATATCATTAATAGAAATTGTGACAAGCCATAAATATTAATTTTAATTTCAAATTTTTTTTAAAGTTGAAAGAATGCAACGGTAAGAATTTTCTAACGGTCATAATTTTTAACATAATAAATAGTTCCTCATTTTATTATAATTTTGATTTACCATTAGTTTAATTTTCAACTATTTATTTTATATCATTTTTATTTTTTTCTTCTTGCACATTCATTTGTCAATGAATCCCAATCAACATAACTCTTGGTCTAATTTTATGCAAAATGGTGGTATTCTTCCTTCAATTCCAAATCAACAAAGCAACTCATACATCGAAAATGTACCTCTTATCTCAAATTCACACCATAACCCAAATTTTCAAAACTCTCATTTTATCCCAAATTCACAAAATAATCCACACTTTGGAAATTACTCATATCATACTCCACCTTATCCATATCAATATCAACAACTTACATCTCAACCAACTAACCCCATTATTCCTCATGTGGCTCAAATAGGCAGTAGTGGTGTGCAATCAAATGATCAAGAACATGAAACACAACAATTTTGCACTCAAGGTAGCGTAGAAACTATTAACCTTGGTGAAGAAGTTGCATCTGCACCGGTTGCGAAAACGCCTAAACAAAGGTTCCAACAAAAAGAGGATGAAGTTCTCATTCAATCATGGCTCAACGTTTCAAAGGATTCAATTGTTGGGGTTGATCAAAAAGGAGATAGTTTTTGGAACAGGATTGGCGAAGCTTACAACAAGCATCGTGACACCAATTACAAAGAGAGGAAACCGATGGCACTTAAAGGTCGATGGCACAAAATTAATCCATCTATTCAAAAGTTTGTTGGATGCTACAAACAAGCTGTGTCTACACAACAAAGTGGGAGCTCCGAGAGCAATATCATTCAAGCTGCATATAAAATTTATTTTCAAGATGAAGGTGAAAAGTTTATATTTGAGGCTGCATGGAGATTATTGAAAGATGAACCTAAATGGCTCACGGGTTCATCGGAAGCTTCTACAAAAAGAACAAAGAATTCAGCTTCAGGAGCATATTCTTCATCTTCTAATCCACCGACACCAACGAGTAGCTGATAGAATCCACCATCGCCTACTTTGTCACGTCGTCCAATCGGTCAAAAGCAGCCAAAAGGAAAGAGAAGGAAAAGTTTGTGGAAATGTCAACTACTCCCAATGTCAAATATGAGTCTTTGAAAGATGACTTTAAATAAAATTTTGATTTAATGTCAACGTTTTCACGAGACTATGCACGCATTGAGGGTGAAAAAGTTGAGATAGAAAGAAAAAAGGTTGATGCAAAGATTAAGAACGCTGGGAGTGCGGAGGAAAGATTGAAGATGAATGATCTGCAAATACTCTCCAAAGATACATCAAATATGGATACACGACAACTACAAGCTCATGAAATATTGTGCGACATGATTAGAGAAAAATATGGAATTAATTAGTATGATTATGTATTTTGGGTTTAATTAGTAGGATTATGTATTTTGGACTTAATTAGAATAATTATGTATTTTGGACTTTATTAGTATGATTATGTATTTTAAATTTAATTGGTATGGACTTAATTAGTAAGATTATCTATTTTTAAATTTTGATTATTCAAACTAGCCGTTATTCAAACTAGTCGTTATTCAAAGTCAAACTAGTCGTTATTCAAACTAGCCGTTATTCAAAGTCAAACTAGCTGTTAGAAACTAGTCCTATAAATAGTATTAACATGCACACTAAGCTTCATAGATTTCTCAACCTTTTTCATTCTATAGAATTTGTTATCACCTCCCACTCAATATCAAACTTATTTTCACATGGATCCTTCCAATCCTTCCCATATCGCAAAAATGTTCATGGATTATATGAATGATGATATGGATGAAGAACTTGTGAGGTTGGTTATGGAAGAAGAAGCCTCGAGCTCTAAAAGGCCTAGACATCAAGGAAGGAATATAGAGAGGAATCGTGAAGATGGACATGATCGATTGTTTAATGATTATTTTTCACAAACTCTGGTATACACGAATGAGCAGTTTCGTCGAAGGTACCGAATGCATAAACATGTGTTCCTTCGTATTGTTGAAGCTCTGGGCCAGCATGATGAGTATTTTCTAATGATGGTTGACGCAACTGGTAGGTCAAGTCTTTCACCATTACAGAAATGCACTGTTGTTATCCGTATGTTGGCATATGGTACATCTGCTGATAGTGTGGATGATTATTTGAGAATTGGTGAAACCACAACACTAAAATGTGTTGATAAGTTTACAAAAGGAGTGATCAACATCTTTGGGCCACAATATTTGTGAAGGCCAAACGCTGAAGACATTGAACGCCTAATGCGAATGGGAGAGGCGCGAGGATTTCCAAGTATGTTAGGGAGCATCGATTGTATGCACTGGGAATGGAAAAATTGTCCGGTTGCATTGAAGGGGCAGTATGTTCGAGGCGATCATGGGAAACCAACTGTTATGCTTGAAGCAGTGGCTCCATAAGACTTGTGGATTTGGCATGCATTCTTTGGGGTAGCGGGTTCAAACAACGATATTAATGTGTTGAACCAATCTAATGTCTTCAACGATGTTCTACAAGGACGAGCTCCCGAGGTTCACTATACAATCAATCATACTGAATACAATAAGGGTTATTATTTATCATATGGTATTTATCCTGAATGGGCCATGTTTGTGAAAAGTATCCCGATGCCACAAGGGGATAAGAGAAAATTGTTTGCCCAACATCAAGAAGCCGCGAGAAAGGATATTAAACGAGCATTTGGAGTTCTTCAATCCCGATTTGCGATCATACGTAACCCAGCACGATCGTGGCACTTAGACACACTCCAGCGCATAATGAATACATGCATAATATTACACAACATGATTGTTGAAGATGAACGTTCCACATATGGTGGAAATTTTGATTTTTCTTATGATCATTTGAGCAATGACGCGACAACATTGCCGAATGATTCTAATATTGATTTTCAAGAGTTCCTACGTAGAAGATTTGATGTTCGTGATAAACAAATTCATCGACACCTTCAACATGACTTGATAGAACATATATGGCAACGTTATGGACCAGAGAATAGTAACAATTGAAACATGTTTTAAATATATCGTTTTCTTGTATTTTATTATAGTAATTTATTCTAACGTTTATGTTTTTTAATGTATTTTTTAAGTAATTTATTTTAACGTTTATGTTTTTTAATATATTTTTTAAGTAATATATTTAATTATTTATTTATTTAAATTTTATTTCATTTTAAATGTACAATTCTTTTTAATGTATTTTGATATATTTGAATTAAATTGTTTCAATTATATATTTTTTATAATAATAATAATGTGAAATATATTGTAAGATTTGGTGAGATCCATTTTAAAGTTTTTGATGGGTTGTATGGATATTTAAAAAATGTAGTTGGGTTGTTTAGAAAATGTGAAAGTGTGATATAATATAAAAAATTAAGTGGGTCCCATTTAAAGAACCCATAAAGAGATGATGGATGTGGATGCTCTTAATACTCTTCACAACTTTGGATCGCAAGCATAATCGTAACTAACTGGAAATCACGGAGAAAATTTCAACTAACATGATTTTTTGCAAAATTGCGAGGAAATATCATATTCTCTCTGTCTCATATTATTTGTCACAGTTGATCATTTCACATAGATTAAAAAATATTAATAAATGAAAGAGAGAACAGTGATTTTGTGTATTTAAATTAGCATTAATGTTAAGTGAGAAAATAATAAATTATGAGTATTTATTAGAGGATATAATTGGAAGATTAAATATAAAATTGCGTTGGTAATCTAAAGTGACAAGTATTTTGGGACAAATTTTATTCCTAAATATGAATTATTTTGAGACGGAGGGAGTACTATTTTGAGATTTGTTAACAGGTTGTAATATTGACCCGATTTGCAACCCGATTTCTCTAAAAGCAAAGAAAAACCTGATTTTTTTAAGACAACTAAATCGAAACCTTATTAGGTTTTGTCGTTCATCTTCTGCGTTTCAAACTTTGGTTTCGACTTTCATCTTCTACGTATTGAGTTCTGCGTTTAAAGTTCATCTTCATCTTCTGCATTTTTTTAGACTAGTTTGTTTTTTAATTGCTTTTACACTTTGTCTTTATTGTCTTTTTTGCACCATGTGATTGATCACTAATTTATGAGTTTGTCGGAGTTACTGACTGCAAGTGCACAGTCTAATTATGTAATTTTAAAAAGATATCGAACCCACAGGGACTGTTAATCAAACTAATATTATCTAATGTTACTACGTAATGTAAGGCTGAAAATTAATCTTAGGTTTTTGAGGGAAATAGGGAATAATTCAACTTTTAACAAAATATACGAAATAAGGGATACTAGTATGTAATTTGTCTGACTTCAGGGATCCGACTAACTATTGGTTTTGTTTTTCTCATAAACACTTTTAAGTAGAAAATATTAGTTTAAAAATCCTTATCTCACACTCTCGTGTTTATTGACTTAGACTGCATTCTTAAATCTAAATGTTTTCTCTCGTTGTCTCATTTGAATTTAAAAACACTTTTTGGGAACCAATAAAATCTAATCGATTCTAAAGCACTCTCACTATATTTAGAATCAATGTTCGGTTACTACTATCCGAGTAAAAATCTCAAACTCTCGTTGTATTGATTTTAACCTTTGTTGTACTTTTACTCTCGTAACAAAAACAGTTTTATTAATTTAATTAGAAACAAAAATCAGGAAAGAATATAAATATTTATACCAATAGGTTTTCGAATCCCTTCGGTTAGTTTATGTTACATACCGATATCTTAGGAAATTATTTGGACATAGTTTTGAACAGAGACATGCTAGTATATTAATTAGTCATAAAATAGAACATGATTTCTATAACGTAAATATAAATAAAGCTTGTATTAAAAACCTGGAAATAAATCTCTAGTACAAAAAGAATTGACTGCAACCTGAAAATTAATCTTCACGATCATCCACAAATATCGGTATGATTCTCTTTCGAAAGTACAGAATTGAAAAAAAACTAAAATGTAAATCTAAACTAGTGTTGCAATAACTCTCTGATGTGGAAAGCTATTACTTTAAAGTAGTGATTTTTCTGCTTAGATTCTAGAAAGAAAAGTGCTCTGAACAATAGAAAATTCTTCGACCGTGTAACTTCCTCTATTCCTCCTTTTATAGAATATTGTATTCACGTAACTCTCTCGAGAAAAACTAGGAACAACTTCCTTCGTGGAGATTCTACATTGATCATGGTAATCGGTTAAAAATGACTTAGCCAATCGATATGAGCATTATGCTAACTGATTGCCTCATCAAAATTCTACCCATGGATCATTTCCTTTTATGGTTTTTCCAACTCATATATAAAGGAGGCTCGCCTCCTCTTCATTTCGCCACTTTCCAAAATTTTACATTTTTTTGAAATTTCTCCCTCTACTTTTTTCTCTCTCTAGAAATATATATTTATTGCTTAAGTCGCCTTAGTGCTTTTGAGTGAAATCTTACTTGTGAGAAAGAATTTGTAAGTGGTCGTGTTAGTCATTTAATTTTTAAGAGTATGATATTCTTAAGAGAATGAGTTTTGTTTGTGAGATAAACCAATCATAAAATCTATGTCTTGGTTTCGTCAGAAAAAACTTTGTTTGGTTTTTTGTGATAAGTTTGTAAAAATCTCAAGATCATATTGTGTCAAGGTTTATGGACACAACCTGTAAAAGCAAAAAAATTATAGTCAAAATCTCAAGAAGATCTCTTGGAGACAAGACTAAGTCAATGTTCGGTAAAATTCAGATAACTCTCTGGTGCAATCCGTCTAACTTTTACTCTCTTTATTTTCAACTATTTAATGTTTTTATTTTCGCTGGTAATTACGTTTGTAAAACTACTAAGACAATTTCTAATTTTATTGAGACAAATACAATAGTAATCACAAATTTTAAATACCACAATCCATCATCTCTCTTGTGTTTGACGTCATTTGTCCAACAACACTCGAATATGATATGGTGAAAAAGCAACATTATTGTTGGGCTTAGGGCCACAGAATGAAATGTTTCAATAAAACATTACAAGTTACAATGGAGACATTCAATGCGCTAGTTCCTAATACTATAAGCATAAAAGCTGAGAAAACCATTTAATGTTTCAATAAAATATTACAAGTTACAATGGAGACATTCAATGTGCTAGTTTCTAATGCTATAAGCGTAAAAGCTGAGAAAACCATTTAATGTTTCAATAAAACGTTACAAGTTACAATGGAGACATTCAATGCGCTAGTTCCTAATGCTATAAGTGTAAAAGCTGAGAAAACCATTTAGTTGTCCAAGTTTCATACACGAGTGTTGTACTTTGGATTCCAACATACTAAATCAACAAGTGAGAGTGAGACTAAGAAACTATGATCATTTTTTCACATTGGA